AGCAGAAAGAAAGGAAGTGCAAAAGTGGAATTTCTTAGTTATTGCAAATGGCAAAAATGATTGTCCATTGCAGCCATTATAAGCCAAATGGGCTCCAGATATTAGAATCACAAAAACTCTCTGCAGTGTTTTAAGTCACATAAATTCTACTAGAAATATTACAGTTAGCAAAGAGACATTTGTGATCATGTTTGAAGAAAGACAAAGGAAATTATCAGACAGTGAGTTTGCTGAATTGTAAGTTACACCATGACAGTGCATCAGTGATGAAGGAAACACGGCAGCTCTAGGGTGTGTGTGCTCCAACACCAAGGCCTGGGAAGGGTTTCTAACGTATCTGATCATCACTATTTCATTTTATTATTTTTAAACTTTTTAATGGCAATATAATAGAAAAAAAATATCCATTGCACTTTCAGCACTATCTTTATCTTTGCTTCCAAACATTTGCAGAAGGGCCAATTTTTATCAATTCACATTCTTTTTTTTTTCTGAATAGCTTATATCCATTCTTTCAAATAGTCCTTGGTCATTGGTATCAGCTATTCAGACCACTATACGGCACACAGAACTTGCTTGTATAATTTGATCTAACTTAAACCAGCACTCCAGTTAGTCTTTCTAATGTGGTTTCTATTCATCGAGCAGTGACATCATGGCCTTTCCATTTTTTTGTTGTTGTTTTTAATAAAATGGTGCACAAAGTGACTTTTGATGCCATGAAAAAGTAATCAGTTCCTGTTAGTAATTTTTCATTGGGGCAAATGAAATGCTGTGAATAAACACATACAATGTAATGTGGCAACATGTTATGAAGGAGCTGGGGAAAACACACGTGTCTGCTTCAAGGAAAATAATGTCTGTTTCCGCAGAGAGGGGTTTCATGGCAGAAATGAAAAGAAAATGCATAATACGTAGATGGGGGAGTTTAAAAGAAAAGTGTTATTCAAAATGGCAAATATTTTGATTGAAACTCTGACTTTTAGTATATGGGAGTTTTATTACATATGAACATAGTTCAATTTTTAACCCATCTTTTTAGCTAAACATCTATACTCACTATGCAAAAAAAGAAAGTTTTCAAGGCTTACTCTTTTTAGAGTCTTAATAAAGTTTTAAAATTGAATGTTACGTGTGTCTGAGATCCTCAAAAATATGAATAAATAAAAAGTTTTGAAAGTCTTGAAAACAAGTTTTGATACTAAAATAAGTTATGTAAGTCTCTGTTCTATACTTTCAGCGTGTAAATATATGAGTTATGCATAAGAGTAAAACATTTTCCATGTTTTTTTAAATGTAAAGGATAGTACCTCATGGGATCTGTTGAAAGTGTTAATATTTGTATGCTTTGGTGATAATTTTTTTTCTGGAAAGTTTCATGTGTAAAAGATTTCACTACCACAAGTTCATAATAAAACCCTTCTCCCATATGAAAAATAGAATGCTGTGGAATTTTTCATTTTATGTGAATAACGTGTTTTGTAACTAAGGTTGAGTAAAATGGTGCATCTTTCTTGATAACGAAGTTCTACCTAACTGCTGCGGTAGCTCTCTAGCTTGTTTTTTAGAATCATGGAACCCTAGAGTGGTTTGGGTTGGAAGAAACATTAAAGCTTATCTAGTTTCAACCCCCCTGTATGGGCAGGGACACCTTCCACTAGACCAGGTTGCTCAAAGCCCCATCCAACCCAGCCTTGAACACTGCCAGGGATGGGGCAGCCACAGAAGAATTAATGTGAGTCTGGAAGAGAAAAAATAGAGTAGCAGGAGCAAAAATATTCTGGAGAGAATGTAAACACAAAAAATGTGCTAACTAGACATTGTCTTTCTCCAGCACACTTTTGGGAAATGCACATGAACAGGTTTAGAAGATTTTATGTTGTTATTAGTTTATTTTCAGGTCATTTATTTAAGTGTCATAAAGAACATTAGCTAGTGGTTAGGGACTACAATATCCATTATATCATTCCAATCATGTGGACAAGTTTATATTACATATGATTTACAATGGTCTTTCTGCAGTTAAAATTGTTATATTCAGGTACAAGGTTTTATACATGGTTGTATTTAGGAAAATCCAAGTGGCTGAGCACAGAGATGTCTTCCAATCAAAGTCCGAAAAATTAATGCTCTTACACGAACACTGTGTGTTGCAGCGAGAGCTGTTTATGGCTCTCTGCCTACATCCTTTATCATGTCTCCACTGTTGTTAGTAAAATATACAGAACTACTTTATGCCAAAACAATGGAAGTTAATGCAGATAACTTGTTCCAAAATTAACCATCAAATAAATCTTCTTTTTTTTCCCTAAAACTGTTAAGTGAAATGGTGTTCTAAAACTTTTAAAAATTGTCAAGATGATAAATACTGTGTGTGTAATACAAGTAAATACCATGGAATTGATTGCACACACATGTCTTAAATAAAGAATATTAAATAGTTTATTCCAGAGGGAGATTGGTGGAGTTTTATCTACTATTATTAGAAATTCTGCAGTGATGGATCAGATTTATAAGGGCTGAAAACTAAGAAGAAAACCTCAACAGAAATTGAAATGGTGCATTGAGTGGGTGATTGTCTGGGAGATTAAAGACAGGTAGGGGGATATAGCTTGCCTGGGTAGTCCGGCCTCTCACATGTCAAGCAAGTTTTCTTAATGGCAATGATTTTTCAAAATCTGTTAGTTAAATTAGGTTTAATTTATCAGTACTCTCAATTCAGTCACCTGCTTGGTGGTTCAGGGCAATCTTGTAACCTATTTCTCCTTCAGCTTTTCCCATGCGTAGATATGTAAAAGTGTATCCTTGCAGGGATGTATCCATACTTTAGAGGAGCCACCACCACCTAGTTTTAGGTCTATAATTCAGTTTGGACTGTCAGAATGCACACTTAACATTTCAGAGCATATATGTAAGGAATTCAGCCACACTGTATTTATACTTTTACGTTCTGAGAATCCGAGGGTGGCTAAGTTGCTGAGGTGGGAATGGTTTAAATTGGGCTTGTTTGGGAACGTGTCTTGTTTGCAACACAGGTAACAGATTTGGATGAGGTTGTTGAGTGTGATAGAACTTTTTCTGGTTTTATCAAGACCAGGTTGGATGGGGCTTTGAGCAGCCTAATCTAGCCTATGTCCCTGCCTGTGGCAGCGGGGTTGGAACTAGGTCATCTTTAAGGTTTCTTCCAACCCAAACCATTTTAGGATTCTATGATTCTGTGATCTACAGAGCAGCACCAATGAGTGACGGCGAGCAGTGGAAAACTGGTAGATCTCGTAGGTGATTTGGTCAGTGGCTTGAAAATGCAGCTTAGTGTAGATGAACATGAACATAATATACCAAGGGATGGCACACCAAAACGAAGAGTACACATTACATGGAATATTTACACAGCATGCAGACTTAGTAAAGGAGATTCAGAGGTTTGAAGAAAAATCCTCAAAGCAATTAGTTAAGAGTACAACTGCATTAGAGCTCACATAGTGTGTACATGTTTGTATTTTGGTAGCAATTCTGAAGAAAAAGAGTTTGTTTGTGTTTAAAGGTGGTCCATTGCAGGGTGAACTGGATGATTCCGGTGTTTAAGAATATTTGTTTTGACAGAGGGAAGGGAGTGGTTTGTTCACAGCCCCGAAATGAGCTGTGATGGAGTAAAACTCTGAAAAACTGTGGAGGAGGTTGATAAAGTGGAGCAAGTGTTGGCTTTAGTAAACAGTTTAATAAAGAGGCTATAGTGGGTAAACATTTGGAAATTAAGAGGAAACGGAAAAATTAAATGTCTCTGCTTATCTGAGAGAACCATAATCACACTGAAAGGCATGTAAGTAAATAATATTTGGGTAAATTAACTTAAGGTCCAGGCAGGCATTTGGAGTGAAGAACCCATTGCGGCTGTGCATGTAGTCCTCTCCGTGTTAATTTAGAAGAGTCATGGTTGAACGGAAAAGCTTCACTCAAGTGTTTCCTGGGCAGGGACTGTAATTCATTGCTACTTCAAATCAAATAGTAAAACCAGATCTGCATAAAATATTACATGTCATATATTACAAAAATTAGTTCACTGGCCTTAATGTAACCGTACAAGTTCATCCTGCTGTTGGGAAGGGTTTTCTGCATGGACATTGGTAGCACCAGTGGTGTCTAATATTGTTTATGGTACCTCAGAAAGGTCATGAGTAGGTCTGCCTCAGTTTCCCCATCATCATGTTCATTATTTATACCTGTGAAAAAACATAGGAATGATTGGTTTTTTTTCCTGTAAATGGATGTACAACTCAATCCTTTTCTCCTAGGTGTGGGTTGTTTGGTTTTTTTTTTCTAGTTTGTGTTAAACTTTTTCAGCTGGTCATTACAGAAATTAGAGGATAGTTGGGTAAAAAGACCCACTTCCATGTAATGATATGTGTTTGGCCCATGTTATTATGCAACTGACAGTCTGCGTTAGCTTTCAATGACGTGTGGTGAAGCAGCTTGCTGGTCTCAAGTCTAGACATGGACTAGACTCACCTTAGGTTGAATACCACTGCATTTGGCATTTGTTACCAATCTTAGCCATAGTCCTGGCAAAAATGCCAAGGCTTTTCTGGCAAAATTGCCTTTTTACTTCCCAGAGGTGTTTGCTTTATTTTGTTTTAGCAGGCAAATAGATTATTCTTCCTGTTGACGTGTGTGCCATTAATGGAGATATGGTTCAGTGGAGACCTTTGGCTACTCAGCCAGTCAACCTGTTATTTTATTGCACAGGTGGAAGATGTCCCTGCCCATGGCAGGGGGGTTGGAACTAGGTGATCTTTAAGGTACCTCCCAACAAACTATTCTATGATTCTATATTCACTAAAATATATGCAAATTGTATCTTTTACTGAATGCTAGTGGAGTTGTTGCTTGAATAGATGTAAAATATCAACTATGTTTTGTCTTCTCATTTGCTATTAATTAATTAAGAATTACCACATGAAACTGAAATCCTGTATAAATACACTTGTTTTTTTTCCTAACAGGTTCATGCCAGAACATAAGCTTGCCCATTTTGAAAAAGTAATTGCTGTTAAAAGATATGGAATTGCTTATCAAACGGTGGGTCTGCCTGGCCAGCAGAAGTGCAGAGCTTTAATGAAAACCAGCAACGGAGCTAGCAAGTCTGGACTTTGTGAAGTCCAGCCTAGACTTCATACCACACAGCATGAGGGGCTGCCTTCCGCATTAATAGCAGTGGCGAGATTGAACAAGTCTGAAGCATCAGAAAGTACAAATCCTTGTCAAGAAGATAAGCAACATCTGACTTTTAACCTCTCTAATATCTTGAGTGGACAGGACTATCAGCAAAGACCTTTACACATTGTCTGGCCTCACAGGTGGTGA